GGTAAAGACTGAATTATTTTAGGTTTTATTTTTCTTACGAATGTCCAGATCTGTGTTTCTCCCTGCCCTCCAAGACTGGCCAGTTGGAAGTGTCTAGTTTTTGTTCATCTCTCATTTCTGGAGCAGGGACTGAGACCCTGCCACATCTATGCTCTGCATCCACGCCTCCTTTGGACATTAAAGGTCGATTGATGCACTTAAAAAAAATCAAGAATGACAGAGAGGCTTGAGAAAACAAGAAAAATATGTTTAAAAGAAAAGGCATCTGTGCAAATGAGTTGAAAGCAGTGTCCACGTGAAAAGCAGCATAGGGACGTTCACAGAGGCTTTATTCATCATAGCCCAAACCTGGCAACCATCAAGATGTCCTTCCAGAGGCAAGGGGACAAATGATCTGGAGAGAAAACAAAGCAAAGAAAGAAAAGGACATTTGAATAGTAAGTGAGGGGAGCAGATTGAAGCCGGGCCACCTAGTGCGCTGGGCACCACCATGCATCTGGACACCCAGAGCCCCATCCCCCACCCTAATACCTGGGCCACACAAGCATCATACTCATTACCCAGAGCATCCTCCTTCTGAGAGCATATTTTTGCCAGATGGTCAAACTATAGCCCTGCCTGGAAATTTCTCACAATGGTAAGGTATCTTCCCAAGACCACTGATTTCTCAGGCTGGGATCTTCTCAGGGAAGCTGAATCCATGCTCTGTCCCTGAGACATTCAGCTTAAATCCCCCTGGTGACCCTCATATAAAAGGTAATAGGTTTCTGTCGCATGCCCACCCCATAATAAGTTTCTCCACCAATGCAGTAAGCCAGATCAAGCCAAATTGAAAAGTATAACAACAAGTATATTAAGCAAAGCAATTCCCTGGTAGGTTCACTAGCCTCATAGAATGATGCCAAAGACGTTGTATGCCCAGGTTAAGATAGGAAAGTATTATACATTGTAGGTGAGGGGTGATGACATGTCTGCCACAAGCTGGATTTGTGACCAAGTATGGTCAAAAACTGAGTGCTTAGGCAGGTGATGGGGGATGTCCTTCTGTATATATGTTTCTCTTATTGGTTGATGAATAAAACACTGTTGGTCAATAAGGCAGGAAGATAGGGGGGGACTAAGAGATAAGGAGAATTCTGGGAAAGATAGGCAGAGGGAGCCCTGCCAGGACAGTCGCCATGTAGCCAGTCAAAGGAGAAACAGGTGCAGGCATTCTCTGATAAGCCAAGATCATGTGGAAATGCATGCATTAATAGCAATGGGTTAATAATTAAGATAGAGCTATCCAATAAGAAGCCCTAATCATTGGCCTACAGTTTTATAATCAAGATAAGTCTTTGTGTGCTTATTTGGGGCAAGGCGGCTGTGGGACCAGGCTGGTGGGAAAGAACCTCCACGACAGGCAGGGACTTGGGCAACTGGCACCTTCAGGGGAGGAAGCTACAGCAGCCACCAATAATGCAGAACTGAACTTTAGTCACCTTTCCTTTGCTAAGAGACTCTGTGAGTGGGCAAGGCTTGTGGGAGAGAGAGGAATGGGCTTCCTAGAATGTGCAGGGGTGAGCGGGAAGCTCCAACCACGCATGGGACTTTACAGTCCCTTCTGGATAGGGCTAATCAGGGCTTGTTTTAGTCTCTTGAAACAAAGCTATATTGTTTAGGGATATTCTTGGGAATGGTAAAACTAAAGAAGAGCAAGGAGATGACCCCAAGTTCAGGACAGGCATTTCCTGTGATGGGGGAAGGGACTGCTGTGAGTGTACAATATGCCCGTCTGGGTAGTGGGTTCAAATGTATTATTCCATTATTACTTTTCAAGCTGCATGTATGATGTGTAAGTGCACATGTGCCTCATACTCACATGTGTGTGAGGCCAGAGATAAACCTATGGGTGTTGTTCCTCAGACGCTAACTAGCCAGAGAGCCCCAAGAATTTTCTTGTCTCCACCTCCCCAGAGCTGGAATTGCAAGCCCAATCCACTGCATTCAGATTTTCTTTGCTTTTCTTTTTACATTAAAAACATCTTTACCCATTATTTTATTTTAGGTGTGGGAGCATTTTGTCCGCATCCATGTTTGTACACTATGTGCATGCAGTGCACTAAAAGGCCAAAAGAGGGCACCATACTTCTCTGGGACTAGCGTTACAGACAATTGTGAGTTGCCATGTGGCTGCAGGGAATTGATCCCTGGTCCTCTGGGAAAGCAGTCAGGTTTTTAACTGCTGAGCCATCTCTCCAGGCCCAGCAATCAGCTTTTTATGTGAATCGTGGATATCAAATGCAGGTTTTCTCATTCTTGCACAGTAGGCAATTTCCCAGTTGAGCTACCTCTCCAGCCCGTGGAGCATGTAGTTTTAAACTCTGATATATGAAAGATTTCAGAATTTAAACAACAATTTTAAATAAATCGATCAAAAAGTAACCTGGAGATCTTGTAGGGAAGGGAGATGCCTGTCTCCACCGCAATTTGATTAAGGGGGCCTGGGCAGGAACTAGGCAACCTGAAGTTTTAGATGATATTAGGTAGCCTTCAAAAAAAAAAATCTAGCTGGTTAAGAGCATCATGGCTTTGGTATGAGACAAGCTTGGGGTCAAAGCCCCGTTCAGTTGCCTGGGGCTGTGTAATACCACATGAACTTCCTTTGCATATAAACTGAGACTGGTGAATCTGTCAATTGGCCTTGGCGATGATAGGAACTAGGTGCAGCTCAGTGGCAGTGCATGGGCTTAGCATGCAGGAGGCTCAGTGGCAGTGCATGGGCTTAGCATGCAGGAGGCTCTGGCTTCAGTCTCACAGGAAGAGAGTAAGATTTCTCAGATGTGGAAGTTGCTGTGAAACTTTTCCTATTCAGGCAAAACTATCAGATAATACTGACTTGCCAGAGGGACTATTTTTGTTTGATGGAGACGGGATTCAAATTGGCCTTGATATCACTATGGAGCCTAGGCTGGCCTCAAACTTGAAGGAAACCTCCTGCCTCATCCTCCTCGGTGAGGGAACAGGTGTGCCCCACTACACTCAGGAAACGGTCTTTAAATTTTTTCCGTAAGCATTAATCCCTTCATGTAGTGGCATCTTGCTTTGCCAGTGAACTTGTGGTGGTGGCTACATCCTATGGGCATGGCTCTAGGTGTGCAGACATGACCCATTATAAGGAAGAGGAGGGGCTCCGGTTTCAGAGAACATCAGAAGATGTGGTCTCTGCCAGCTCCTTCTCTAGCACCTACTGCCAAGCCTGATAACCTCAGTTTGATTCTTGAAACCCACAGGTAGAATAAAAGAACTGACTCCTACAGAACCACCTCACTGGCTCATGAATGGCCAAAGTAAAACACAGTGATTTGGGATGAGGTAAACTGTTAGGGATGGGGTCAACCTTGCTATGTAGTTCAGGCTGGTCCTGAACTCACAGAGATCCATCCTCATCTGCAGGCCACCATGCCCAGCTGTTTTATTTTATTTTGTGTCACATGCATGCAGGTTCCAGAGGAGGCCAGAAGAGCGTATCTGACCCTCTGGAGCTTGAGTTATAAGGCTACTGGATAACGGTACTGAGAACCAAATTCAATTCCTCTAGAAGAGCCCTTAACCTCTGAACCATCTCTCCAGCCCTTAATTCTTTTTCTCCCTTTCCTTTTTTTTTAAATATTTTTTTTTTGGTTTCTCTGTATAGCCCTGGCCATCCTGGAACTCACTCTGCTGACCAGTCTTAATGGGGAACGCCCTTCTGTATGCTGTGTGTGTGTATATGTGTGTGTGTGTGTGTGTGTGTGTGTGTGTGTGTGTGTGTGTGTGTTTCTCTTATTGGTTGATGAGTAAAGCTGTTTTGACCAAAGGACAGGCAGGATGCAGCCAGGCAGGAAGTATAGGCGGGGCTACCAAACTAGAAAAAGGCTGGGAAGAGAAACACAGGAATCACCTGAGAGATGTCATGTAGCCACTGAAGGACTAACATGCCTTGTGGCAATACATAGTTCAATAGAAATGTGTTAATAAGAGAGAAATAGCCAGTAAGAAGCCTGAGCTATTGGTCAAACAGTTTATAATCAATAGAAGCCTCTGTGTGTTTATTTGGGACCAGACAGACAGAACAGAAACTGTTTACACAGGCTGTCCTCAAACTCAGAGATCTGCCTGTCTCTGCTTCTCCAGTGCTGGGATTAAAGGCTGGCGCTGCCACCACCACCCATTGGTTCTTGTTAGACCGGTTTCTACAGGCCTGATTCCCTCTGAGAGCTGGGATTTCCCACATAGTAATTGGCACCTAGCAATCATCCAGTATGTGTGTAATAATACCAGTAAGAAGTCTAGGGTAGCTCAGTATAGTGTTGTCTAGCATGTGATACCTTTGAGTTCCATCCCCAGCACCAATATATAAATAAGTACAGACAGAAAGAACACTGGAGATTTTTGGCAATCTTTTATTTGTGCCATTCAGAACGTTACACTTTCAAATGACAGTTTTCTCCATGGTTATGTCATGACATCCATAACCATGTCAATTCCACTTCCACTGGTGAGGAAGTGGGTCAGGCTGAAGACCAAATACTGTAAATCGTTTATGGTAGAACTTCCTGTGGTTCCGAAACTTTGTCGGTCAGACATCTATATTAACATCCTCAAGTGTTACTCCTCCCCTTATTTCCCTAAACTCATTCCACACCAAGTCTTCGCTTCCCCGGTGCTCATCCTATCCTAAGCTCCATATCCATACAAAGTCTTTCAACATTCCTGACCACCTCCAACCTCTCCTCGCCTCCAGCTCGAAACCCCGCCCTCATACCTGACCCCTCCCACCCAAGGGGAGCGCAGCCGCGGGCCCCGCCCTATATCTCGTCCCCCCCCCCCCCTTTAAAACTGGGCTTCATCAGCGCAGGCCCCGCCTTTCATTAACCCCGCCCAGCAGCGGAATGTGCTGCCATAGGCCTTGTCCTATCCGACCCCGCCCATGCTCTGGGAGCGTCAGGCCCCGCCCATCCCTCGCCGTGGTGGGCCAGCGTGCGGACTGCGCAGGTGCGCGCCGTCAGCGCGGCCTCCTCACCCCAAGCACATCTCTCAGCGTGAGGTTGGGACGGCGACCCCAGGCTTGGCTGCAGCTAGAACCTGGGGCCGCGCGAGCGGACGGAGGTCTCCAGAGACCTCGCGAGAGGGGCGCGGGACGGCCGTTGTGAGCGCGGTGGTGCGGGCCTGGCCTGTGCTAGACGGAGCCCGCGGGTGCGGGGCTCCGGGAGCCGAGGCCGCGCGCAGCGAAGGCGAGCCGCACCCCACGCTGTGAGTCCTAAAGGCGAGCCCGCTCCCTAGGCCACGCCCCAGCCTGGGAAGATGGAGGGGGACCGGCGGACCAGTCCGCCTACCCAGAGCCTGCTTCCCGATAGCCACTTGGTCCTGTGGACGCTGTGCTCCGTGCTGCTGCCGGTGTTCATCACCTTCTGGTGTAGCCTTCAGCGGTCACGCCGGCAACTGCATCGCAGGGACATCTTCCGCAAGAGCAAGCACGGCTGGCGTGACACCGACCTGTTCAGCCACCCCACCTACTGCTGCGTGTGCGCGCAGCACATCCTTCAGGGAGCCTTCTGCGACTGCTGCGGGCTCCGCGTGGACGAGGGCTGCCTCAAGAAGGCGGACAAGCGCTTCCCGTGCAAGGAGATCATGCTCAAGAACGACGGCCGGGTCGCAGATGCCATGCCTCACCACTGGATCCGCGGTAACGTGCCCCTGTGCTCTTACTGTGCCGTCTGCAAGCAGCAGTGCGGCAGCCAGCCTAAGCTCTGCGATTACAGGTATGGCCTTTGGGGGGGGGGCACGGTTGCAAACACTGGGTCGAGAGACCTAAAATCATCAGTCGCAGCAAATGGCCTAAACCGCTCACTCACAAGCATCCCTGGCACTCACGGCAGTTCCTCTTTAGATGTTTCTACTTTGTTTTGTTTTTGAGACGGTCTCCTGTAGCCCAGGCTGGCCTCAAACTCACCCGATTGCAGAGGATGACCTTGAACTTTTGATCCTTCTGCCTTCAGGTCCCCCATGCTGAGATTTCAGGCCAGTTCATGGGATGCCGAGGATCAGACTCAGAGGCCCTATTACTCAAGCCCTCTGCCAACCGAACTCCAGCACCATCCCCACCCCCTGCCTTTCTTGTGGCTACTCTGTAGCACCCCTGTTATGTGAAGGGAAATGAAGGGCACACAAAGTGACTTTATGGCAGTCACAAACCAGCTGGTTCTTGGTGTGGCACTGTGAAAGCAGCGCTTTTGGTTTCTTTCACCAACACAGACAGCTCTTGGTGTCACAGTCAAGTGTTTGACACGCAAGGCTTGTTTATGAGAGGGGTGCACATTGTGAGAGTTGTATTATGTGTGTGGAGGGCAAAAGACAGAACTCTGTGAAGTGAGTTCCCTTCCACGGCATGGAATCCTGTGACTCTAACAACTCGTCGGGCTATTGGGCCTCACCAGCCCAGAAAGGAATATCTCTTTAGTCAGATCTTTCAGGACTAGTGTCTCACATGAGGCTATTTTTGTGGCTTCAGCATCTACACTGAAGAGTGAATTTTGCCTGTAGGATGCTGTCTGAAATAGGCTTCTGTGTTGGGGGTTGGTGGGAAGCTTTGTAGATCATTTACTCTCCCTTGTTTTAACAGTTGAGAAAAATTGAGGATAAAATAGGACTGGTTCCCAAGATTTCTAACACCTAGCCTAGTCAGAGCCTTGTCTGGCTTTCACTATGTAACACACTTCCAAGAGCTGAAGCAGAAAGGTGGTTCTAGCTGTGGAGCGTGTGTGTGTGTGTGTGAGTGTGTGCGTGTGAGAGAGTATGTGCGTGTGAGAGTGTGTGTGTGAGTGTGTGTGAGAGAGTGTGTGTGTGAGTCAGTGTGTGTGTGTGAGTGTGTGAGTCAGTGTGTATGTGTGAGTCAGTGTGTGTGTGTGTGAGTCAGTGAGTGTGTGTGTGTGTGTGAGTGTGTGTGTGAGTGTGTGTGGGGCAGGGTGTACACATGAGTACCCACAGGGGCCACAAGAGAGTGACACACGAGCACACACCTTAGCTGAAGGTGTAGGTGGTTGTAAGCTTCCCGACGTGGCTGCTGGGGCCCCAGCTTTTCAAAAGCAGTACACACTCTTAACTGTTGGCCCCTCTCTCTATCTTCTCTTTAAAAAAACAAACAAACAAACAAAAAAAAACCAAAGAACTTACTTCTTTCTTTGTTTTCTGAGACAGGGTTTTTCTGTGTAGCCTTAGCTATCCTGGAACTTGCTCTGTAGACCAGGCTGGCCTCAAACTCACAGAGATCCACCTGCCTCTGCCTTCTAAGAGCTGCATTAAAGGCGTGCACCACTGCCTGTGTAAAATTCTTACTATGTATGAATTTATTGTCCACACTGGAACACATTGAGAGCAGAAGAGAGCAATTTTTTATTTTTGGTTTTTCGAGACAGGGTTTCTCTGTGGCTTTGAAGGTTGTCCTGAAACTAGCTCTTGTAGACCAGGCTGGTCTCGAACTCACAGAGATCTGCCTGTCTCTGCCTCCCGAGTGCTGGGATTAAAGGTGTGCGCCACCAATGCCCGGCTGAGAGCAATATTAATAATTATGCCAGAAAATAAACTTAAATGGAGATATTTACAACCTAGCAAAGACATGTGCTCACCATATTCCTAAACCTGACTTAATTTTTTTAAGATTTTATTTTAATTGTGCATGTGTGGGTCTTTTGCCTGTGGGTATGCTTATGTGTCACATGTGCTTAGTATGCAGAGGCCAGAAGAGGCACACACCTTTAGTCCGAGCACTCAGGAGGCAGAGACAGGTGGATCTCTGAGTTTGAGGCCAGTCTGGTCTACAAAGTGAGTTCCAGGACAGCAATACAGAGAAACCCTATCTCAAAAAAACAAACAAACAAAAAACCCTAATGAAAAGGTCATCAGGATGGCTCAGTGGGTAGACTCTTGATACCACGTCTTACAAACTGAGTTCAGTCTCCAGGGCCCTCATGATAGAAGGAGAAAACTCCCAGAAGTGTTCTCTGACCTCCACATGTGCTGTGGAATGTCCCTCTAACATATAAGTGATACAGTAGAAGATAGGTGGGTGGGTAGATACATAATGAAAGTTTTTAAAAACTAATGAAAGGTGCCTATGGCCGAAGCTAAATGGTAAGACTTTGTCTCAAAAGATCTGATTAACTATGCAGGTGTGAAATCAGGAAGTCAAGTAGATCAGTATCTCATATTCTTACCTAGCTTAAAAACTGGTGGAGAAATTTGACCCTTTTCCCCACAAATAAATGTGGTGTGATATGAGGCAAAATAAATCTAATATACTAGGTTAGAGTTAGCTGAGCTGGAGATGTAGGTAAGTAGGTAATAGAACTTGTGAATATTGTGAACAAGTCCTGGGTTCCATCCCCAGTCTTAGAGGAAAAAAAATTACCCAAGCCAGGCTTGTTGGAACCTGAGGCATTAAGATTGAGAGTTATAGGTCAGAGAGGGTCAAATAGCAGCATGTATCTAAAAAACAATAATATATACAATAGTTATTATCTGTAGGCCTCTGGTAGATGGATTTATTCACTTCAACTGTGCAACCATCTATTACAGTTTCTGATGTTAAAAGCTAGTATTCATAAATGGCATGAGCAAGTTGTGTTATAATTGTCTTTAACACATTGTACAGGTACCTATTTTTAGCCATCAATAGAACTCTTGAGTAAACAGTAATTTCTTGACAAATCTCAACATCCAAAAGGAAAAAAAAACACCTTTAAAATAGAAGGCCAAGAGTTAACATCTGGCAGGAAAGTGTTTATTCCCTCCTTTTTAAATCAGTTAATTCTGTCCTTCTCTGGTGGCCTGCTTTTGCTCAGTCAGATCTGTCTTATCTGTGAGTGGATTAAATAGCTTAGCAGGTTAACAATAGAAAGCCCACGTCTTGCCAGCACTGTTCCCAGCCTGTCTTTGGCCCTGATCCCCAATACAGAGGCAAATCTGAATACACATATTCTGTCTTCGTCTCAGAAGCAGACATGGAACTGTGTATCAGCTCCTGAAAGGAATGGTTTGCTTTACCTTTTACATCAAGTTGAAAATTTTCTAAATCAGACCTGAGGAACTACAGATGTCATAAACAGGTTTAAACTAAAGTATACACATTTCTAATGCATGCAGCTGTTGTTCTAAAGCGACCTTGTTAGGGAGGTGTCTACTACAAAATCGCCCTAAGAAAGTATTTATGCTTTTTGTTTGTTTGCTTGCTTGCTTTTGTTTTTGAGACAGGGTTTCTCTGTTTAAAAGCTCTGGCTGTCCTAGAACTAGCTCTGTAGGCCAGGCTGACCTTGAACTCACAGAGATCCCGCCTGCCTCTGCCTCCCAAGTGCTGGAATTAAAGGCATGCATGACCACAAGCGTCCTATTTATGTATTTTTAAAAGTATGATCATAGGCAGTATATTCTTGTTTTTTTTATTACATTTCTGTGTGGATACACTGTTTAAACTTGTTAAGAAAAGCTTCTTCTTTGCTAGCCGCTTTGGTTTATCTCCTGCCAGTTGCCTGGGCTCTGCCGCTTTGTAGTCCCCAAATAAACACACAAGACGCTGTATTAATTATGAAGCTGTTGGCCTTGCTTGTTTCTTACTGGCTAGCTCTGACTTAAGTAATTACCCCATAATTGTTAATCTAAGTATTTTTCTTACCGGAGAATAGTTCCGGGCTTCCGACCCTATGGCGTTACATGTTGACTCTCTCTGTGTTTCTCCTTCCCAGAGTCCTCCTGGACTCCTAGTCCCTCCTATCTAGATTCCTATTGGCCAGACAGTCTTTATTGACAAATGCACAGGACTTCCCCCAACATCTCCTCTTTTCTGTTTAAACAAAAAGGAAAGTCTTAACTTTAACATAGTCAAATTGTATATAACAGAACAGTTATCAAGTAAGAACATAGTTACAATATTTTAGCAAGATTTAAAGAAAATATCATCCATCCCATCCTTGTGAGTCCAAAGTTCTATATGTAGCTTATCTTTTATCATAACTAAGGAAAACTATAATTATAAATATCTATCTTCAACTCCATCAAAGACCACAGAAAGATAATATATAAACACTAGGATTGACAGAGACATCTTACTGCCTGGACAGTCACCCGAAGTTCCTCTGTATTGTCAGAGCATCCATCTTTAGCCCATAGGCCACAATGTGTCCAGAAGATTTCTCAGCAAAGCAGGAAATTTCGAACTGTCCATCTGCATCAGCAGTCTGTCAGTCATTTTTCTGTGTCTTGCAGAAAGTCTGGTAGACTCTTCCATGAAGCAGGAACCCTGTAAGACTGAGTTCAGCAGTCACTTTTCTGTGGGTCCTGCATGTCCAGATTATACAACAACAGTCAAGCAGTCTAGGCAAGAGCAGTTTCTTTCCCAAATGGCTAATCTTGCCATGTTGAAAATAAACTCCATAATGAGTTTCTTCGATGTCCGTCTCAGACGTAATTGGTGCTGCCAGGAGCAGACATTTCTCATTGTCAAGAAAAACCCTAAACCATTTTAAATGCCATTTTCTGAAGGTCTTTGAAAGGTTTGAAGACTGTTTATGTGAAATATATTTCTGTATATCTAGAAAACCTAACTTACCTAACTATAAATTCTGACTATTATAAGTACCTATCTATGATCTGTATTTAATTACACATTACTTTTTAAAAGATCAGTATAAGCACAATACTTAATCAAGAGGAGAAATATACATATCACAAAATTGACCTTGAATAAATGAAAAACAATACCCATACCATAATTCCCCTTTTTACCATTAAAAGGAGATTGGTTGTGATCATTAACCAATTATAAATAATCCCATTTAAATGAAAACAAAGATTTATAAACAAGATGGGAATTGGGACGTCACTCATTCCAAACTGCTTCATGCTGGAAGGGGGCGCTGCTCATACCATGGGGATCATGACAAAACTCAGAAACCTGTATAAGTCTGTATTTTCGGGGTGTGTAAAGCTGCATCATCTTAGCTGTCTCAATAGTTGGAACGCCTGGTCCACTGCTTCCGGGGGTCTTGGTTCATCAAATCACAGAAGCCTGGAAGGAATCCTCAGCTTTTCATTTTCTGTAGAAACATAAGCAAAAACTCCTTTTCCAAGTAACATATCCTTATACTTAAATTTTGAAGTCAAGGCATTTTTAAAATATAGAAGTTGGATTAATTTAGCAGCATTTATAATCCAGTGTACTTTAGCAGTTCCTTCCTGAGTAATCAAAAAACTGAAAAACACAATAGTATACAGTATCCAGACTCTCTGTGTATTTTCCATCTTTGCGTGGCTTATTTATTTATCTATTATTACTTTATTTCTTTTACTTTTATTTCTTTTTCTCTGAGACAGGGTTTCTCTTTGGAAATCTGCCTGCCTCTGCCTCTGAAGTAAATCCTACTGGCGTGTGCCACCACAGCCGGCTTTTGTATTTATTTACCACTTTGCCGTTTCATTTTCTCTCTCAATCTCACATATATTTTTAAACACACTGTAAACCTTTAGAGGTTTGTTCATCCAAGTCTGACTTTACTGTAAATCTTTACGTTTTTCTGGCCACATGTCTTATCTGTTAAACCCGTGGCTGTTTTAAACTGACTTTTTTTTTTTCTTCAAGATGACTCTAGCTTACTGCCTCAGTCCATGCTGACATCCAGCAAAAGCTGCCACTTCCAGCTGTACGTACACACCTTTTAATCGTTAGCAGAGTCTCTTAAAACAATCTTGCTGGCTGATTTTTTTTTTCTTTTTATGACCAGTCAAGAAGACTCCGGTAAGCGAGCCATGTGAATATCGGCTTGTTGCTAGCGAAACAGAGCACACCTGAGAAAAATGCTGCTACCAAAATCTGTGCTTCTCTCTGTTCTTCTGTTTCTAAAATTCCTTTAAAGCTTTTGTTATTTTGCGTGGAAATTCATGATCCCACTCCTGATCACCATTTTGTTAAGAGAAGCTTTCCTTGAGAGGAGCCTTCCCGCCCACCTGGTTCCAGATCCGCATCAGTCCCAAATAAACACACAGGAGGCTATATTAATTATGAAGCTGTTGGCCTTGCTTGTTTCTTACTGGCTAGCTCTGACTTAAGTAATTACCCCATAATTGTTAATCTAAGTATTTTTCTTACCGGAGAATAGTTCCGGGCTTCCGACCCTATGGCGTTACATGTTGACTCTCTCTGTGTTTCTCCTTCCCAGAGTCCTCCTGGACTCCTAGTCCCACCTATCTAGATTCCTATTGGCCAGACAGTCTTTATTGACAAATGCACAGGACTTCCCCCAACATAAACTTTACACAGAAATGTGGTTTGTGGATTAGGAACACTGGTTGAAAATTAATTGACGGCTGTTTCTTCTTTCCTCAGGTGCATTTGGTGCCAGAAAACAGTCCATGATGAGTGCATGAAAAGTAGCTTAAAGAATGAAAAGTGTGATTTTGGAGAATTCAAAAATCTTATCATCCCACCAGGTTATTTAACTTCCATTAACCAGATGCGTAAAAACAAAAAGACAGATTATGAAGCGGTAATAATTTATTTTCTTATGAATTTATTCACTTAAACTGTGTATTTGAGAAAAAAATGGGAATTAAGTAAATAAGAGGTTACAGGGTTTAAAATTTCATTATGGTAAGCTATAAAACTTTACCCACGGCCCATCATGATGGCAAATAACTTTAATAGTAGCACTCTGGATGTAAGGCAGAAGGACCAAAAGTTTAAGATCAGCTCAGTCTATATAGCAAGTTCTAGAATGCATAGCAAAGCTAAGGACCAGGGGCTAGAGAGATGGTTCAGCAGTTAAGAGCTCTGGCTGGTCTTTCAGAGGATCAGCACCCACATAGAGACTCAGAACCAGCTATAGCTCCAGTATCAAGGGATCCAACACCCTCTTCTGGCCTCTGGGCATTACTTTCATATGATACACAGGCATAAATGCAGCCAAAATACCCCTACATATAAAATAATAAAAGAGCCTTTAATCACGGTACTTAATATATAGAGACAGGAGGCAGAGAGCTCTCCGTGAGGCCTTGCCTAAAAAAAACTAGGAATCACAAACAACAAAACCTTTCAAGCTAATGTATTCTGAAATACATCCAGACAAACGAATGAGATCAGAGAAGATCAAAATCCACTCTATTAATGGCTAAAAGAACGTGAACTGTATTAACTGGAGACAGACTCATAAATGCTAATGTTGAACATCCCTGATTCAACATAGAAATTCCAGAATTTTAGGTGCCATCATAACACCACAAGTATTAGTTGCAAGTCATTTAGGATATGCTTGGATATTCATATACAAAAGGACTTCTGCTAGGCTGTTGTGAGCCACCTGAAGTAGGTTCTCTCTTCAAGAGCCTTATGAAAATATTATTTAAAGAATGATAAAGGAGCTGGAAAGATGGCTCAGCAGTAAGAGCACTGGCTGCTCCTCCAGAGGACCTAGGTTCAATACCCAGCTTCCATATAGCAGCTCATTCTCCAGCTCCGGATTATCTGACACCCTCTGATTTCTGAGGACACTACATGCAGCACATGATGCATGTATATACATGTAGACAAAACACACATAAAAATACATTTAAGATACATTAAAATTGATTAAACTTAATTTCTTAAAAAGGATCGCGTGGCCTGTCCCAAATGATGTGACAGACTTTGATGATTCCCCCATGGGAGTTCTCACCCTCCCTGAGGAATGGATGGGGGGAGGGGTGAGGGGGTTGTTGGGAGGAATGGAAGGGTAGGATGGAGAGGGAACTGGGATTGGTATGTAAAATAAGATTGGTTTTTAATTTAAATAGAAATTAATGTAAAAAAAAGTAAATAAAGGATGACATGGGAAGAATACTGTAGAGACTGGGAAAGTGGCTTGGTCAATAAGTCCTTGGCATGCAAGGATGAGGACCTAACTCAGTCCTCAGCATCTGTGTAAAAAAAAATGAGAGCATGGTGGCATCTCTGCGTAATCCCTGCCTTAGGAAAGCAGTATTCTGGGGCTTGGTGGCTAGCCAGCCTGCCATAACTGGCAAGTTCCATGACCCATCGGGAGACCTTATTTCAAGGAAGATAGCCTCTCTTGGTGGGGATATGGCCAACACCTCTCACCTCAGCACGTGGGAGGCAGGGGCAGGTTGATGTCGATGAGTTCCAGGCCCATCAAGGCTGTATGTCAGACTATCTCAAAAATGAGGAAGGGAAGGAGGGGGTCGTCTCTCACCTTTACATGGAGACATACGCACATAAGAGGTCTACATTGAGTGAAAGGCCAAGCTATAAGGTCCTCTGCCATTTTTGGGCTTGTTTTTCATTATCCTGTTCATAGTGCTGGTGTAATTGTTATTTCAGTAAATTATAGCACCATTACCACTAAGGGTTATAGTTGCCATCTCTCAGACACTAATCCCCTTTTGCTCGTGTTTTTTTTTTTATAGCTAGCTTCCAAGTTTGGAAAGCAGTGGACCCCATTAATAATCCTGGCCAACTCTCGTAGTGGAACTAACATGGGAGAAGGACTCTTGGGAGAGTTTAGGATCCTGTTAAATCCAGTCCAGGTAACTAAAGAGAGAACCTTGCTCTCTAAGATTTCTAACTTTTATTTTCCCTGAAATACAATGGTTACTGATGCCTTAAATCACTACCTAGTCATAGGAAAGAATAATAACTATAAAAGACTTGCACCTTTCACCGGGCGGTGGTGGCGCACGCCTTTAATCCCAGCACTTGGGAGGCAGAGGCAGGCGGATCTCTGTGAGTTCGAGGCCAGCCTGGTCTACAGAGCTAGTTCCAGGACAGTCTCCAAAACAATACAGAGAAACCCTGTCTCGAAAAACCAAAAAAAAAAAAAAAAAAATCACTGGGTCGGCGTTGGTGACTAAAGTAACTTAACAGATATGTGGTGATTTATCCAGTTGAGATTGTCCCTGCACTATACCATAGAAATCACCTACACAGAAGGCATAAGTATTTTCCTGTATCAGTAAATATTTATAGATATTTTGAGTCTTTATATTTTAGATCATTGTGTAATTTTCAAAGTTATTTTCTAGAAATTTGCACTAGTTCTGTTTTAAAGCATAAAGTACGGACCACTAGCTAAAGGTGAGCTTACACACTGTAGTTTGACGAGAATGGAAGAGAGTCAAATGGCGTTGTAAACTTAGGCTCTCTACGGAATGGCAGGTAGCTGGTCTGACCTCCTGGGCCTCTTCAGAATGAGGCCAGTTCCTCCTTTGTAGGTCAGAGTGCTGGGTGAGCCACAGTGAGTTCTGGCCCTGTCTCTGGGAACTGTCAGAGGAACATGCATACTAGCCAGTACTGCTGCTCGACTATGCCTCTCTTCATCTTGAAGGCCTTGAAGGCAGGTGAAGGCCAGTGTGGGGTAAACATAATCTCTTTCTGTTCTTTTATTTCTAGGTGTTTGATGTAACGAAAACACCCCCAGTCAAAGCCCTGCAGTTGTGCACTCTTCTTCCTAACCACTCAGTTCGAGTCCTTGTTTGTGGAGGGGATGGGACTGTGGGCTGGGTCCTCGATGCAGTTGATGAAATGAAGATTAAGGTATCTGTCTTTAAGAACTGCTGTAATGGGGTTGATGATATGGCTCAGTAGTAGAGCACTTGCCTAGCATGTGTAGCTCAGTCCCTAGCACCACACCCAAAAGAATGAAAGTAGCCGAAGATGAAGCCCGTTTGGATAATTAGGAATGAAAAACAGTTACATTTTTGTCTTTGTTGCTTTAGTCTTTAAATTTTACAAAATACTATTATGCTACAGATAATCTAAAGAGAAAAATCTGCAGTACATCTTCTATATTCTAGGGACAAGAAAAGTACATTCCACAGGTTGCGGTCTTACCTCTGGGAACAGGCAATGATCTGTCCAATACCCTGGGTTGGGGTACAGGCTATGCTGGAGAAATCCCAGTTGCCCAGGTCTTAAGAAATGTAATGGAAGCAGATGGAATCAAGCTAGACCGGTAAGCTACACTGTGCTAGCAAGTCTGTTATTTGAGCTTAAGGATATATTATTTGTATAAACAAAGACTTGTGTAGCTATAAAATTCAGTGAAGTTGGTCGGGCATGGTAACTCATACCTGTAATCCCAGCACTTGGGAGACTGAAACAGAGAATTGCCATGAATTTGAGGCCAACCTGGCCCATTGAGTTAAGACCCTGTCTCAAGAAACCAAAAACAAGTGAATGTAATTTAAATGAAAAGAACTATATTAGTTGCATTTATAACAGATTCTCGTGTGTTGTTCTTGGTATTGTAAATAGTTCAGTTATAAATTATGCCAGTATTTGCACACTTAATTAGATATGGGTACTGTCTCAAATACTTTAAAATAGCATTGGAATTTTCATGTCAGGTCATCTAGAAAATAGGTTTTGTGGTTAAAAAGTACTCTTTTTTTAACTTCCTTTTTTAGATGGAAAGTGCAGGTAACAAATAAAGGATACTACAATTTAAGAAAACCCAAGGTACGTTTTCAGTGCTTCAGTTGTAAGCAATTTAACAAATGCACAGAGTGTCTATGGTCTGCGATTCAGGTCGGGTAGGACGGAGAGTCTGGTATCTCAAGGGAGCTGGGTAGAAAGCAGAGTACCCAAGTGCCTGTCTTACTCACTGAATTGCTGGTTTTGGTTGTCTGGGTTTTTTCTTTGTTTTGTTTCTGTTGGCTTTTATTGGGGGGTGGGCTAGATGAATACTCTGCCAGTGAACCACATCCCCAGCCCCCAAGCTAGACTATAAACATGCTTGGAAAAGAACATTGCCCAAGTACACTTAGTTCCACCCTGGCAGATCAGGTTAATTTGAATCAGCAAAGGAACACAGGATTTCCCATACACAGGTGAAGCATGTCAGCAAATAACAAGCAATACAGAGATAATGGAGAATACTTTTTGTTTACTGAGCATCAAAGACAGGATCACACATGCTCCCCAAATATTCTGCCACTGAGGTACCCACAATCCCAATCTGTTTTTTGTTTTGTTTTGTTTTTGTTTTTTTAAGAAAATATTCTGAGATGGTGTGACCATAACACACAGACACAAGGGGAGCATAGGACTTTATTTTCAGTTTAAAGACATTTTAAAGTTAGACTGATCAAGACTTGGCAACTGATGAATTGATGGCCACAAAAAGAAGAAAGCAAGTACATTTTTTGTTTTGTTTTGTTTTGTTTTTTGAAACAGGGTTTCTCTGTATTGTTTTGGAGGCTGTCCTGGAACTCTCTCTGTAGACTGGGCTGGCCTCAAACAGAGATCTGCCTGCCTCTGCCTCCCGATTGCTGGGATTAAAGGTGTGTTCCACCAACGCCCAGCTTAGATTTCTAATTTTAATGATTAGATATATGTAAATGGTATTAACCAAGGAAATAAAATTAAGGAATTTGGGCTTGGAGTAAAATGAATACTTGACATGTCCACTCAAATGACTGCAGGGTGGGGTATTGAGTAAGAGGCTGGAGTTGTTTGCTCAGAGTGAAATCAGTGATAGACATGAAGACTGAAGAATTTAGACTGAATTGGCAAAATATAAACTATGGGAATACAAACTTAAGACCAACAGAATCTGAAAGTTACAAAGAAGGTGCAGAACAAGTACCAAGAGAACACAGGAGAGAAAAAAGCCTGCATAGAAAATGCAGGGCCTCAGTGGTAGCGCAAGCCTTTAATCCCAGCACTCAGGAGGATTTCTGAGTTCAAGGCCAGCCTGGTCTACAGAGTGAGATCCAGGACAGCCAGGGCTGTTACACATAGAAACCCTGTCTCAAAAAATGAAAGAAGGAAAGGAAGGGAGGAAGAAAAAGCAGAGCCATCCCAGATTGAAGGTCTGAGATGTGGCGTGATGAGTGGAAATGGAAAGCGGTGGGAGTCGCGTCTGTAGTTATTAGCCCACAACTTCGCTGGCGGTTTATGATCGTCTGTGAAAAGTAAATACAGATCTGTTGTCAACAAGATTGTGGACTGAGATTGACCAGGGTGGCGCAACTGGCAGTCATTGTTGGTTCCTCTCTCGCAGGAGTTCACAATGAACAACTACTTCTCTATTGGACCTGATGCCCTCATGGCTCTCAATTTTCATGCTCATCGTGAGAAGGCACCATCTCTGTTTTCCAGCAGAATTCTTAACAAGGTGTGTGGGATAAAATAACATTTCCTGCTTATCACGAAGGTACAGTAAAAATCAATAGTTCAATTCTATTCAGCACTCTTAGATTCAGATTGGACAGACTTATGAGAACATTTATATGCCCTGTTTTGTATAGGATTTCAAATTAAAATCCGTAAATATATTTTGTTAACTATGACAAGAGTTTTAAAAGTAGAGGTTGGGATATTTTACCTAGGTGGAAGTTAATTGAAATATGTTAAGGTATGTCTTAAATAGCTGAAAGAAATTCTATGGAAAATAAATTTTTGGTTAAGTGACTAATAGAGAAATATATCCTGTTGGCTTAAGAAAACCACACAAAGCAAATGAGGTAAGGAAAGGGGCATTTGTTCACTTGGCTCTTAGCAAAAGTTATCACTCCAGTTCCTAGCATAGCTGATCCCTTTGACAGAAGTATTATTTGGTGTGGTTTTGATTTGGTTTGATTGTTTTGGGGAATAGAATTTCTCTGTATAACAGCTCTGATTGTCCCGGAACTCACTTTGTAGACCAGGCTAGCCTTGAAGTCCCAGAGATCCACTGCCTGTATCTTCCCAAGTGCTGGGATTAAAGGCATTACCACTCTTGTCTGGCTGTTTTTGTTTGGTTTGTTATTATTCTGGATTTTTTTTTTTTTTTGAGACAGAGTCTCTCTTTGTGTAGCTCTGGAACTCACTATGTAGACTGAGCTGGCCTGGAACTTGCAGGATCCACCTGCCTTTGCTGGGATTAAAGGTGTGCTCCACCATATTTGGCTCTGTTTAGGAATTTTTTAAAGTGACTTGACTGTGAAAAAAATAAATACAAATTATGTGTATCCTTATTTCTGCTTTACAAATAGTTGAAATTTCATACTAGGATTCAGGGGGTGGGGTGTCTTTGTAGCCTTCTTTACAGCGGAGAGATGAGCTTTGGGAGGCAAGAAGGCAGTACTGCTCAGCACGACTCAGTAGCCCATGTTAGTTCAAACTTCAGGAGTCTGGCCTCAAGTGGTTTCTTTTAGGCATAGTTTGGTGAGAACTATTCTGGTGATAATTAACTCAATCCCTCTGCACAACAAAGTATCCATGCATCTCCTTGAGGAACAAAGTAAGCTAAACACACATTAGACGTGTTTCCATGGAAACTCTCTGTAAAGTTCATAAAGATGGGTTCTGTAGATTGCCTGAGAAAAACAAGCTTATGATAGGGTCTGGGGGAGGATCTGATGCTGGAAAAATAATCTCTGGCCACACAGGGAGAGCAAAGGTCACCAGGCTAGAAAGCTTCAGCCTTCTGGACAAAGAAAAGGTTTTGCATTCCTTCCCCTGAAGGAACAAACCTGTGTGCATGTCTGTGAGCACAGAAACCTCCGTGTCCCCTAGAGACCCCCTCTTTATTTTTAGCGAAAATTGTGGCTATAATAATAAGAGTTAAAGCCGGGCGTTGGTGGTGCATGTCTTTAATCGCAGCACTCGGGAGGCAAAGGCAGGCGGATATGAGTTCGAGGCCAGCCTGCTCTACAGAGCAAGTTCCAGGACAGCCTCTAAAACAATACAGAGAAACCCTGTCTCAAAAAACCAAAATAATAATAATAATAATAAGAGTTAAGGCTGAATGCAATACCCACATTGCTACTCTAGCCATTATGGGCAAACATAACAGAATTGTAAGAATAGCTAGCAAAGGGCCAGGGAAAGAAGAAAGTCATCTTAACCATGATAGTCATTCTGAGGTCACTTGGGAGATTTTGTTTGTCTCTTTTTTGGATTTTTGTTTTTCCAAGACAGGGTTTCTTTGTGTAGTCTTGGCTGTTCTGGAACTTACTCTGTAGACCAGGCCAGTCTCAAACTCAGAGAGATCTGCCTGCCTCTGCCTCCTGATTAAAGGCATGGACCCCAATTGCCTGTCACACTTTATGCAGATCATCAATTCAGCCATTGATAGTATGAGAGAAATCTGACACATTAAAGCAGCACACGCCAGGAAATTATTGGCACCAAGATTATGCTTGGGCAAAAATAATCTATACTATTTTGTGAAACTGTGGTTCTCGATTTGCCCATTGCTTGATTAACTTCTGCTGTTATTTTTGCTGTTGTATTAGTAGTTTTACTAATCATACAGGCCATTTTTGATATATCTCTTTATATTCCAGGAATCACTTCTGGGACTGGTAATAAAAAAGGAAAAAAAAAAGACATTGTAGCAGCAACCATTACAGGATCCAACAGCTGCAAAAAATCATCACAATTTTCAGGGAGAGCTTTCTTTCACAGATACTAGTTCCCTTTTTATTAATAATATTACTGAGACAGGAGAGGGCAGTAGAGTTGACTCAGTGGTTAAGGTCACTGGATACTCTTGCAAAGGACCAAGTTTTGATTCACAGCACCCACATGACAGCTCACGACCCTCTCTAACTCCAGTTCCAGGGCATCAGATGCCCTGTTTGATTTCTGCAGCCCATGTGTGGTACGTAGATATGTGTTCAGGCAAAACACCCAAGCACATAAAATAAAATCTTTTTTGAAATGATGTTACTAAGACAGTAAAGACTGCTATTTATATAGTTGGCAACTTCAGTTCTTCTGTCAACCCTTCTATACTCAAAAGTGTCTATACAATGGTTGCTAAATTTATATGCATTTTTCCTTTAATAATTTGGAGTACTGGGAAAAAAACGTTTTCTTACTTCAACATAGTCTTATAAAATATACTTTTTAGATAAATCAGGAGGCAATGCTGTTTAAACATAAACCATTCCACCCATATCCCAAATTACCTCTGAAAAACAGACTAGTTAGACCAAAAAATAATGGATTTTATTGTCACCTTCTAAAAAGAAGGATCATTCTATAAGAATGGGAAGCCTGAGGCAGGAGAATCACCACAAATTCAAGGCCAGTCTGGATTACATAGCAAGACCCTATCAGAGAAAAAAAGAGAGGGTCCAGAAGTGCTGCTTTCTTGGTAGAGTCCTTATCTGATGTGTACGTAGCACTGGGTTTAATCCCCAGGACCCCAGGAAATCAGGTGTGGTGACAGCCAACCAGCTGTAATCTCCGTACCCAAGAGGCAGAGGCAGGAGGATTAGGAGTTCAAGCTAAGCATCAAATTCTAGGCCAACCTGGCCTACATGAGACCCTATCTCCAAAGAGAGAGGCAGTTAACAGTACATGTGTCATGGCCACAGTTCACCTAGAATTCTCCTACCATAGTTGCACGATAAAGTGATATGCTGAGTGGGTGTTCAAAGGGTGTGAAATGGGGTTGTATGCCATAGGCATCTCCATTTCTCTTCAGTATCCATGTCACATGGGAAGAAATGGCTTACAGCGTAGCAGGAGCTTTGCTATAGTGTCTTCTTGTGCTTACTGCCATATTTACAGTGTCTTCTTGATACTTTAATACCATGTTTACAGTGTCTTCTTGATATTTTAATGTTGTGTTTTGTCTATTTTCTAGGCTGTTTATTTATTCTATGGAACTAAAGATTGTTTAGTGCAAGAGTGTAAAGATTTGAATAAAAAAATTGAGGTAAGCTACTAATATCTTTTCTAAAGGCGTGTGTCTTGTCTGAATTCTGAAGCTCTTTAGCAAATGCTGTGTTTTCTGTAAACATACTTCGATCATGGATGTAAAGTGTCTGTTCCTTTGCCAGACACTTGCCTAAGCTGCTTGTTATTTGTTTTATATATATATATGAGTGTTTTGCCTGCATATATGTAAGTAAGTGTACCACTTGTGTGCCTGGTAACTTTAGTGACTCAAAGAGGGCACCATATCCCCTGAACTAGAGTTCAGGACAGTTGTAAGCTGCCATGTGGGTGCCTGGGAACTTAACCTGGGTTTTTTGTGAGAGTAGTAGGTGTTCTTAACCAGTGAGCCATTTCATGATGACCTCCACTTGACTAAATTCATTATATTCATTACTCCTCTAAATTTTCAATGCAAACATATATGTCAAACATTCCTATATTCTCAGAGACAGCAAAACCATTTAAAATTAAGTGATTTTCCTAAGTTAGATAGTTCATGGCCACTGGAACTAGTAGTCACAACTTGGACCCTGGTTTGTTTCCAAAATCTGTTCAACTGGTAAGCTGACTGATAGCAAATTCAAAGTTCCTAACACAGTGCTGGCTCATCTGAATGCTTGTGAAAGTTTAAAAGATTCATTCATGTTTTGAATGGTACTACTTACATATCAAGTACAAATGTATTAACAGTAAAAATAGAACATTGTTGTCGGGCGGTGGTGGTTGTGCACACCTTTAATCCCAGTACTTGGGAGGCAGAGGCAGGCAGATCTCTGTGAGTTCGAGGCCAGCCTGGTCTAAAAGTAAGTGCCAGGATAGGCTTCAAAGCTACACAAAGAAACCCTGCCTCAAAAAGTCAAAAAAGAAAAAAGAAAAGACACTGTTAATTGTGTGCTGCTACAGACTCCTGACCTCACAGTCTTGTGTATTTTGCTTGCTTCTAGAAAGAGTCTGTAATAGTTAATAACAACAACAGAGACATTAATTAGAGAAACCCAAAACTATTGTAAAATAATGGGAGGAATGATAAACATGTTGGAGAAAGAATGGATAGCATGAGCATGCAGTAAGGAGCCTGATACACCAGCCCAGAAAGCTGCCATCTAGCAAACCCTTAGCTGCACACCCCCAAGCCACCCAGCAGGGAAGGAATTGCAAGACTGTCCATGAAAGTTTTATTAAGTGTGGTGCTGTAGATCAGACCCAGAGCCTATAGAGCACACATGCTTGTAAGAGAGCTTCAATGCAGAACATAGTTTGCAGGGAGGAAGAGGGTGAGAGCCAAGGCTAAAGAGGCAGCCTGTTTGGAGCTTGAATTTTGCCTCAGGTGCCAGGGTAAGCAAGCCAGTGTAGGCTGTAATGAGGGAGTGACACGTTGGTGGTGCCCGTTGATACTAGGGTACATGAGACAAGAATGAGGCCAAGTGCACAGCCTGTTAGAAACATTTGCAGGGAAGATGGTGGATTACACAAAATACTGTCAGGAATTTAAGATGGGCTGTTATCTGGTTTCCTCTGAATTGGCAGTGGAAACACAGTGCAGATAGTGCAGGCCTCCTGGTCTGGGAATGTAAGGTGCCTTGTGCTTTCTCTGACTATTTTTTACAGAGTAAGGTGCCCAAGTAACTAGTTCAGGGGTATCTGAAGCCCTCTTCTGACCTCCCTGGGCACCAGGCATGCAGGTGGAACAGACTTGTATGTAGGAATTCACACTACACATGAAGTACTGTTTTGTTTTGGTTTTTGGTCTTTCAGAACAAGGTCTGGAGACTGTCCTGGAATTTGCTCTGTAGACCAGGTTGGCCTCAAACTAACAGAGATCTGCCTGCCACTGCCTCCTGAGTACTGGGATCAAGGTGTGCGCTACCACCCAGCTACATATAAACTTTTTAAAATATATAAATGTTAAAAGAAAATGGCAGAATAGTGAGGATTGGGACAAAGGGATGTTGTTGATAACTTGATTAAGAACTGTTCCACTTGGGACTGAGAAGATAACTCAGTTGGTAAAGGACTTATAGTGCGTTAAGACCATAATGCAATCTCCTGAACCCATTTGAAAAACCAAGGTGGATAGCACCCGGGCAGTAATACCTGAGGTGGACCTCAGCACATGTGTGGGTGCACACACACCAGGAATAAACTAATTAAGAATTGATTCCATGGGCTGGAGAGAGAGCTCAGCAGTTAAGAGCAGTTAAGTGCTCTTGTAGAGGTCCCAGCAACCACATGGTGGATCACAACCATCTGTAATGGGATCTGATTTCCTCTTCTGGTGTATGTGAAGAGAGCAGTGAAATACATAAAATAATGTGAATAAATAAATCTTTAAAGAAGAATTGAATCCATTGTATGAAGAGCAGGAATGGCCAGGTTGCCTTGAGTCTAAGGAGTTGTCTTCCCCTCGGACATGTCTCACATCTGTGAGAATGCATATTGAAGTCTGAGTTCTAAGTAGATAGGTGTGGAAATAGGGCGCCCTGTAGTAACTAACTACTTACATTTCTTTAAAGCTAGAACTGGATGGTGAGCGAGTTGAACTGCCAAATTTGGAAGGTATCATTGTTCTGAACATTGGATACTGGGGCGGAGGCTGCAGGCTGTGGGAAGGAATGGGAGACGAGACTTACCCTCTAGCCAGGTATGTACTTTTGCAGTGTAGTTGATTGATGGGTTTGGGAGTGTTTGGTTTTGATGCAAGGTCACTGTGTAAACCATGTTAATCTTGAACTCCGTCTTCTCACTGTAGCCTCCTAGAGCTGCATTACAGTTGCTAGTCACCACAGTCAGCTGCAGTCTGGGTTTGGCCTCTGTTTTGTTTTGCTGCTAGACAGGTTCTCACTATGTTGCTCTGGTGACCTGGTATTCACCTAGTAGACCAGGCTGGCCTTGAACTCATAGCTTCTGCTTCCCAACTGCTGGGATTAGAGGTGTGGGTCACCACACCTAGCCTTCTGGTTTTTTGTTGTTGTTGTTTTGTTTTGTTTGGATTTTTTGTTTTTTTTTTTTGTTGTTGTTGTTTTTAGTAAACTTTCATGTTTCCCTCCAGTTTTCACTTCTATATATGTTAACATGGACATTAATAAATTGATGAAATAGGGTGTGGCAGAGCTGCATGCCTTTGATCACATAAACAAACAAACAGACAGACAGACACAATAAGTAAATAAATAATGGGTGGCCCACTTAAAAGAGTAACTGCTTTGCTTTCCATGGATAATTTGAGTTTATGCACTCTATAAGCCATATTTTCTTGTTCTGATGTTAGGCATGATGATGGTTTACTGGAAGTTGTTGGAGTGTATGGGTCTTTCCACTGTGCTCAAATCCAAGTGAAACTGGCAAATCCTTTTCGAATAGGACAAGCACACACAGTGCGGGTGAGTAACTGTTCCCAAGCCATGGATATGGAGAAGACAGCATGCATCTGTCACTTCTTCTCGTCTCTGTAGACCGTAGCAGGAGCTTGCAGGAAGCTAGCCAGTTAAAGAAATAAAATACCCACTGCAGAGAATCCCTAAACAGTCTTTTGGTACATTTGCATGAGTTTTTGTTTAATGTCAAAGGTTAAGGGCCCGTAGGAGATAGTGGGAGACGGGAAGACCTGCCTGTAGTTTCTAGAACTGACACTTGTAATTATTTCCTGATTCAGCTGATTTTGAAGTGCTCGATGATGCCGATGCAAGTGGATGGGGAGCCATGGGCCCAGGGACCCTGTACTGTCACCATAACACACAAGACACACGCTTTGATGCTCTACTTCTCTGGAGAACAGTCGGATGATGACATCTCAAGTGCTTCGGATCAAGAGGATCTAAAGGATGCTGAGTAGAGAGAGGGATGAGCTGCGACAGCATCTGCCCACACCAGTAGACACATGGTCACCCACAGGAAGTACTGTTAGCACGCCAGTCTTCATTTCATTCCTCGTATAATGGTGTGAGCTTATGCAAACAGCGTTTCCACAGCTAGACTTCAGTCTCACAAATACATACTCTTATCAGCAAGATCCTCTGATCTTGAAAAAAAAAAAACACAAAGTTGCACGAAGATGAAATGTTTCTCCTGACTGAATGTTTCAAGACTGGGGCTCACTCTGCAGTATGCACTGTATTAAGTATCATATTTGATAGGGTGTGGATGAAAAAAATCATTTCTCTCTTACTTTTTGATACAGAGACAACATAACATGTTAAAAATTAACTTGCCTTTTGAACTGCTGTGGTTAACACTGGGCTTATTCCTGCAGTGTGCTTCCTGAGATTTCCCACACCCCAAACCAAATGGACCCAACATCCTGATTTCTAGGAGCTCCTGAGAAAGAAGGGAAAGAGAAATGGTACTTGAAATTTTCACAGTAGTATATTTTCTGTCATCATTTTAATGACCATATTGAGCTGAAATGCAAAAATCTTTTTATTTTAATTGTTTTTGTTTGGGCAGTACTAGGGATTGAACCTAGACGATGAATGCTCTATATTAAACTATACTCCCAGCACAATATATATATAATAGATATATATTAAGTGGATGGGTCTAAAGTAAGATTAAGAGTACTTTAAGTTGGAAACTCTATAATTCACCAGCTTCTCTATTGCTTAAAAGATAGTGTTGAGGCCCGGCGATGGTGGCGCACGCCTTTAATTCCAGCACTCGGGAGGCAGAGGCAGGCGGATCTCTGTGAGTTCGAGGCCAGCCTGGCCTACAGAGCGAGTGCCAGGACAGCCTCCAAAGCCACAGAGAAACCCTGTCTCGAAAAACCAAAAAAAAAAAAAAAAAGATAGTGTTGACAGTGAGAAAAAAATAGACATAAGGGAAGCTTTCATTTTGACAGCATCACCCTCGGAGAGGCAAGGCCACTGAGATGTTTATATCATATTTATTTCAAATGGGAAAGATATCTATTTTTAACTTATTATTAACCTTGTGGCATGATCCTTGTGTTTAGTGTTTACACTGTAGTGTACAGTTTTATATAGTAAACTGGTCACACAAATCTGTGGTCACAGTCACATAGAACTCTCCCTTGGTTCCCACAGCATATACACTCACTGCTCATTCCTCAGACTCTAAGGCACACGATGAACTTGGGGTCCCAAAGCTTTGCTTCACTACACCTCCACCCTCTGCTTATTGAAAGGCGGTTCCACGGCTCTCCATTAGAGGGTGCCCTGCCGCTGTTGTCAGTGGCCTGCCTCTGCAGTTAGCCACACCCAGTGGGCATCTAGCCCCGTGTGTTTCTGACAAATGGCATATTTGCACTTGGTAGTCTTGCATGAATTAACTTCTAAAAGACTACAATCTAATCCAAAACCACCATTTATCTCTTTTAATGCTTTATTATGGGTCTGTAGTCAGTGAATTGCCATAAACTTTAGTCTGAGTCACCTCAGGCTAGACCATGTTTTTGAAAGGACAACTTAGCAAACTAATTTTTCACTGCTAAGTTAACCTCTTCTACCTGTTCCTAGGTGAGGCCAAATTGTACCATTGACAGATATCCAACAGGTCTGTCCCAGCCTACTCATAGGCCTTCACACTGGATAACTGCAGCCAAGGGTTTCCCTTGGGAACGGATCCTGTTTGGAATGTAATGAAATTCATCCTTGGATTCATGGTCAGGGTTGTTAAGATGTCACCCCCTGAGGCACACTCTTAAATTTACCTATAGCTCACAGTGCTCATTTATAGTGGAAACAAATCATTAATTTGGGACTATCAATGGAAATATTTGGGGTAATTCTAGAGATACTCTAGTTAGAGCAGGCTGTGTCCCCTCCCCCAACACACCATGTTTTTCTGATGCCTTGCTCACTCAGATTTTTATTCTGTAGCTTTCACAATACCGCATCACAAAGCATAGCAGTATTGTTTTACTACAGCTCACTTTTAGGCACTAGTTCACCCTGCATTCCAGATAAATGTATAGGCATGTGCCTTGTTTAAATACAATTTGTAAGACTTGGCGTTTGCAAGTTATATATTAGGGAGTAGTAGCTTACATTACCAGGGGTCTGGTTCACCACGAGATTGTCTGTTCCGTTTAAAGTTGTCTCAACAGCAACATAACTTACATGTTCTCAGGAAAAACTGTGAACCGTCTGTTTTCACATCTCTTGTCTTTTTCTGCCCTGATACATTCCTAATGCCTCATGTGGCTTAAACACCAAATACCCAGCAGCTCCTCTAGGTCCTTAGGCAGTTTCTGGCACTTGGTTACGTATTTTGTAGTCAGAGGCACTTCTGTCTAGAATAGAAGTTGTCCAGTAAGGTCACTGAATCTAAATGTTTTAGATTTTCTGTAATTCTTAGCTGTGAACCTGTAATGTAAGCTGATATTTATAAAAATTTTATAGTGAAACTATTTATTTTATTTTTTTTAGAGTATGAAAATCTGTAGTAGTTGCCTTTTGAACATTTGTGTACCTGGTTGTAATGTAGACTGATTCAGAAAAGTTCTTATTTGTGCTGTAAGCTGAGTACTTCTCTACCAGCAGCATGTCAGAAAGAGTAATATAAAGTCAAATATTTCTAATGTACACTGTGGGATTTTTAATTTGCACTAGCTAGAAAACTTGAAAGGTTATGTTAATTTGCACATCAGTGTGGACCCAAATACATAATCTGACCAGAAAGGTCAGTAGAATAGATGATGGTTTTGTGCTACTTTTGTTCAAAACTGAAGCAAGAAACTAGCACTTTATATTCAGAAATCCTATAAGGGGTATTTTGGGGGGGGGGGTGGAAGTTAATTTGGTTTTTGTGACTTTTTAAAACTTCTGTACAGTTTAGGACAAGGAATATTAAATAGATTTTATTATTATTATTATTATTAGAATTTTTTTCTTGGTTTGGGTTAACTTGTTTTCATTTGTGTTTCTTATTTTGTTTTGCTTTTACAGTCTAGGAATTTGTTTTTCGAGACAGGGTTTCTCTGTAGCTTGGAGCTTATCCTGGAACTCACTCTGTAGACCAGGCTGGCCTCGAACTCACAGATACCCTCCCTTTTTGCCTCCCAAGTGCTGGAACTAAAGGCGTGGGCCACTGCCCGGCCTTAGTTTCGTTCCAGCCCTCAGGAAGTCACGTGCTCAGCAGCTCTTGCTTAGCCTCACCTTTGCAGAGCATGCCCTGTGTTCTAGAAGCCTCAGACCTAGCTGCTGCATCTCAGGGATCCTCTCAGCCAGGAGTGTGGTTGAGGGGTGAGTTCGCAGCCCACTTGTGGTCTCATGGGACAGAGGAACTACCTTACTAACAGCACACTTGTTTGTACTAGGTTGGCAGTGTATGCTGTGACAATCCCAACGCCTGAGGCCAGCCAGGCTAGTGTGAGAACCCAGTCTCAAAAAGAAGTTTGCATTTTAACCCAGTTGGTGGCCTAGCTATTAACATAAAAATCGATAGTTCCTGTTGTGAATGTAGTCTTTAGGCTGCAGTGTAGGGAGAGCTGGTGGAGCAGTGAGCAGACCAGGTGAAGTGCCTGCCTTCTCCCTCAGTCAGTGCAGAGTATGAGACTGTACTGACCTACGCTGCACTGAGCGGTGATGAGTGAGTCTTAGGACTACAGGATGTAACGTATTTACACTGTTTACAAAACAGCTCTCAGTTGGGCATGGCAGCAGTGTCTGTCATCTCAGAGACAGAGGCAGGAAGATCTCTGGGTTCAAGGCCAGACAAACAGACGTTACATAAACCCTGCTTCAAAAAACAAGGTGTTTTCTTTAAAGAAAAAGATTAGTTTTATGTATATGGATGGTTTGTCTGCATGTATGTCTATACCATGATGGTGCCGGGTAGGCCAGAAGAGGGTGTGTGATGAGCAGCAGTGTCATTTTGGGAAGAACAGCCAGTGCTCGTCACTGCTGAGCGAGCCATCTCGCCCGCTCAAAGGGTTTTTTGTTTGTTTGTTGGTGGTTTATTTTGGTTTGGTTTTTCAAGGCAGGATTTCTCTGTATTGTTTTGGAGGCTGTCCTAGAGCTCACTCTGTGACCAGGCTGGCCTCGAACTCACAGAGATCCCCCTGCTTCTCTCTGCCTCCCGAGTGCTGGAATTAAAGGTGTGCACCATCACTGCCTGGCATCAAGGGTTTTTTGTTCTGTTTTTGTTGTTCAAGGATTTGAAAAGTACTTTCTTTGAAGACTTCGTCACATGGTTGATTCTCTAATGTTTTTTGTGTACTCAAACCCTCATAGTTTTCTGAAAATACTCTTTTGGGGGGACTCAGTTGCCACTTGGAACATAGTCCCTTGGCTGTCTCCCACCTTTCAGTGGCATTTTTGTTGCATAGTATAATACCAAACTTAGCCTCTATTCCTTGTGTCCTGACCATAGTGTGGAAATTGTCTGTATTCAGTTACTCTATGTAAATACACACACGTGTGTTTACTCTGATGCCCCTGGCTGTGTAGTGAGTATGAAGCTTACTGTTCTCAAAAGGTTATATCTAAGATTCCAAGGTTTTAATACAGACATTGGCAAGATTTAGTACTCTGCAAATACAATACCTGTTGAATATAATCTACCCAGAAAGTATGTCATCATGATGCAGACACTAGACCCAGGGCATTTCCTCAGTCTCCATAAAGGTAACTTGGATATTAAGGGCACCCACATTAGAGGAGATCCAGCATAGAATGCTCTGAACAGGAAAGGAACACACACACACACACACCCGTCTCTTTGATGACCGACATAGAATGTTGAAAACAGGGAGAGTTGGGAAGTTAGATTGTTTTCCTAGTTTCATCTGGCATTGTCCAAGCAAGATAGCACCCTGATTGGATGGACAGATTTGATAGGGCTAGATACGACAAGGCATGCTCTTGGATGGCAACTGCCCCATAAATCTTTTCCTTAAAACTCAGAGTTCTGCTAGTACTTACAACTTGATCCACTTGAATGGTCCCTATTAATAGGTTGGCCCTCTGCTCTGTGATTGTGTTCTGTGCAAGTTTAGAGCAGCCTTGCTCGGTCCTCAGTGCTCTCACAAGGGAACTCGTACCCCTGAGTCCTCAGCATTGAAGATGCAGTGACCACTGGAGCAGCTGGCCAGCTCCCCTTGTCCCCACTCTGACTACAGTACTGACGTCTACCACTGTTAATTACTCTGTTAATTGCTTCTGTTGAGTTAGGTCTGCATCCTATGGTCAGTGCCTACAAACAGAAATATAAACGAAAGCATATGATATGTTGAAAATATGTTTGCTTGTTTTAAAATAAAATTAAAAGCCCGGCACTTGAAAAATTGATCTCGTGGTGGGTGTATGATTGTCAAACAGTGACATGAGAGAAGCTGTGAGTCTCTAGCAAATAGCCATTGGTCTTCAGCGGGCAAACATAATTTGTAGTAAGTTCTAAGCCATATCTTTGAATGCAAAGAAAAAAGTTTATAATGCCTGTGGTCATGGTGACACACTCCTTGTGTGTCTGAATGAGAATGGCCTCCATAGACTCATGTTTTAATACTTGGTGGAAACTGGGGAAGAACTAGGAGGTGTGGCCTTGGGGGTGGTGGGGTGCCACAGGAGAGGGCTCTGTGATTTCAAAGGCCTCCCTGCATCCTCAGTGTGCTCTCTGCCTCCTGTTTAGGGTTTGAGATGTGAGCTCTCGGTTGTTCCTGCTGCCATGCCTCTTCCATTAGACTTGCAATGAAGTGGCATTGAAGAGATGGCTCTTGGTTAAGAGCACTTGCTACACAACCATGAGAAGCTGAGTTGGAATCCTGGCACCTACCTTTTGGTCTCTCAAATTCCTGTAAACCTCAGCGTTCAGGAGACAGTCCTGGAGTTAACTACCAACCTAGGGAAGACAAAACAAGGCCACACATGAAAGGCACACACACCTTTAATCCTAGCATTTAGGAAGCAGAAGCAGGGGTCTCTGCAAGTGCTCTGGAGGGAAAGGTACCCTGACTTTCAGGAAGTCAGGCTATACCTACAGCTGTGAAGGGAAGGTTTTCTGGATACCTACAGCTGTGAGGAACCTGAAGCATACCTGTAGCTGGGTCCGGTGAGGGATGGACTCCTGGCAGGATGCGGCCATCCTGCTCCTCTCTGATCCCAGTGCAGGTGAGGTCTGCTCTGCCTGCCTAAGGGGACTTCTCAGCAGAATCTGCTCCAGCTCCTGCAAAAAGTTGTTACTTCTGCTCACCTCCCAAGGGAGTTTCCCAGCAGAGGTATTGGTTTCTTCAGCTCTGCCCTGCTAAAGGAGTTTCCCAGTAGAGGTTCTCCCGGCTGGCAAAGGGTCTTCACTCAAAACTCTTTCAAGGGAGATTTATTTGGGAAGGAGGAGTCCAGGAGAGTAGCTGCCTCTGCCGGGATGGATTAGGACAGTTGCCAACTGAACAGGCAGAGGGACATATATAGGGCTTCTTAGGGGTGGAGTTTTACCAGGGAGAAAATTTTCAGGGAGGGAATTGGTCAGATTTTGGTCCCCTTGAGCTTGGACAAACTCAGATTGGCTGTATCTCATTCTCAGGGATTGGTTGGTTTCATTTTCAGTTATTTGGGCAGGTTAGACTTTGGTTTTTAGGGCCCTTTTTGGCCTTCTGGCTCTAGTTTCAGAGCCAGGGTGTATTTCTTTTACTTGCTCTGGTTCCAAGGCCAAAGTGTGTTTCTTTGGCTCTGGTTACAGGGTCAAGGGTATGTCTCTTTGGTTCTGGGTTCTGGGTTCAGGGTCAAAGTGTTTCTTTCACTGGCTCTGGTTTCAGGGCCAGGGTGGGTATCTTTATAGCTGACTCTTTTACCCTACAGTCTCTATGAGTTCAAGGCCAGCCTGGTCTATGTAATGAGTTCCAGCCCACCCAGTGCTACAGAGTGCTACCCGATCTCAAAAAGAAAAATTGTTATACCCAGATAAGAGGGTACTTATATGAACTGGAACATATGAAACGCACTGTGTGTCCCAGTTAAGTGGCACAGTAACATCTGTAGAGCATCTGTCATTCATAAAGCAATTTCAATGGAGTATTTTGTTCCTTTCAAAAAATTCAATTGAATCTACAGAGCAGATATAATTTCTGTTTCCCAAATCATGACACTCAGAAAGGTTAATGGCATGCTAAGTTGCCCTGACTCCATTTTTGAGTCTGTGTAGACATTGTCAGCAGTCTGCTCCCTGCCCCCTGACAGCCAGGTCTGCATTGACAACACATTTGGGATTTTCATGACTCTGACCATGGCCCAGATGTAGTAACCAAAATAAGTAATGATTATACAAGCAAAACAAACTAAAATAACAGAAAAAGGTATAAATCAAAATTAATTGTCATGTTGTGTCTGAAATAATTAGGTTCTATCAAAACAAATGTTTCAGAGTTACTCTGACCCTCATCTAAAATTGACATAATTGTACTATTTTACTTTTAAAAACACTGCCCTGAAGCTTCAACACCAAGAGACCCTGCAGTATTGTCTTGCTCTTGATCACAGGCCAAAAATTTAAAGGATTCAATCTTGAGATTATTGGCTCAGTTGGAGGGATGGTTCATATCTTTCTCATGTGGATTTATCTCAATGCCAGTGTCTCACAGATTGAGGACCCCAACCCACAGTCTTGTAACTCTGAAATCCAGTGGGTTTGGGCCTTTCTTTCCCCAACTAAGTTAACCGTCCTCTGGTCGGTGAGGGGTTTCTAGCTCTCATTGGGTCATA